ATTATGCAGCATCAGTTGAACAGAAACAGAGTATATGTACAAATAACAAAATCAAATAAGTAGAAATTACACAAAAAGATGAGAATATTCACTAAATTCATAACTTCCTTGAAAATGCAGAGTAAACAATCACATTAGCAATTCGATGCACAATATATAGATAATGGCAAGTTTGCTTTCAAAAATAGAAGTTGATTAGTTAGTAGTTCATTTCTAATACTTCCTTCATCACACAGCAGACGAGTTAACTACACTATTGTAGAGTTTTATACTTCGTAGTACCTGCATGAAGTCCTATACACTCAATCACGGTTTTACCTCATGACTGGCAAGCAGACAGGGTTGAATGAACAGCATCCTGGTCATCTGATAAAATAACTACAACCAGATATCTACATGAGTTAAGATGTTTGTTCACAACAATTTCAATTAGAAAGTTTACAGGTACACTACTTGTTCTGCTGACAATCTTCAAAGTCCTACGCAACACAACATAGTCTATTTTCTCCAGCAACTCAGGAAGGAAGAGAGGAGAACAGTTGAGATGAACGAGTTCATTAAACGTAAGAGTAGAGGTTGAGTTATACCGAATACTCCCAGCCTCCTAATAAAGGAAGTTAGGCAGAAGATTCTTTTGAAGATTAGTAAGATATGGGAGGACCAGGAGAGGTCCGAAGAAAAACATACATTGAGATAAATCACATTTGTGACACTCTCCAATACACAACTATCAATAGAACAGAAACCATGAGAACTAAGCAGTTTACATAGGTTGTGTTCATGTCTAAAACTGAAGTTTATGGTCTGACGTTGTGAAAAATGAAGCATAAGGTCATTCATGAAGGACCATCGTCTAACAGTAGATAGGAAACCGTTCATTTAGGGGCAGTCTGTTGTAGAGGAGATAGTTATGAAAACCGTCAGGTCATCAGTATATTCAATGCAACTGATACCAGTTGAAGGTGTTAAGTCATGTAGAAAGAGCGAAGAAAGACCCGGGATAAAGATCAAGCTCAGTAAGCATTTAGGTGGAGGTCTTCCCTCTGTGAACAGTATGCTGTTCCCCTTCAGAGAACTAGGAATACAGCCAGCTGATTATCCAGAACTTAGTGTGTGTCCTGTTTAGCTTGTCCAGCAAAAGATGTCTTGGGACAGAATCAAATGCTGTAGTGTGGTCTAAATGTTACACCTGACATACTTAGCATTTCTATGAAGATTACAAGCAGTATTGTGATATAGACAATGGTGACATCTGGAGTGCTTCTTCCGCTTTTATGTGCAAACTGAGTAGGGTTCAGGTACAGGTAGTATTAACTTATCCATTATTTTCATGAAAGGAGAAGTAACTGCAATCGGAGGAAATTCCTAACATGCACCTGGAGTCCGTGAATTAGGTACGGAGACTATCTTAATATCTTTTAAAGCAGTCAGTACGGTGTTTTCTGAAAACTATTTGTCAAACATGTTAGCTTATGGATGGCATAAAACATCAGCATCATCGGTGAATACACAGCTCCACATACCATGTGGGCCTAAACTGTGTGAATGGTCCAGGGATTTGAAATATTTGCAAACAACTCGGTGAATTTTGAACAAAACTCTTTATTGCAAATGTGCGGACAAAGTGGGATAGGACAGGTGGTTTGATATGTTCAAAGCACAGCCGTCAGGATCTGCTTCTTTACTAACGTGTCTACTACAAGTGAGGTCTTTAAAAAATTTCAACATTCTGGAAGAACCTTTGCATGACAAAAGTTTCTGGTTCAATAATAGACTCACACGTTTAATTTCCAACCTAATTAAAACGTTTCATCGACGAGCACCTGCATTATTACTTATTTTATTTAGTCTTTCTTTTTCTCTTCTTTTTTTTTAATCTTAGCAGAAGGTAGACGATCGAAGGGTAGAAAACGTTTTTCACTGGGGTAACATATTCAGGCAAAACTTGAGATAGCATATGACACCATCAATAGTGTCGTTCAAAATGTCGCTGTGAAATATATTCCGGTCTGTACATTTCTCTTAGATTAAGTATATTACTGTGTGAATAGTGTAATTTTCTTATATATTGTATAGTTTTCCACACGTGTGATAAACTTAGCTGGGTAGTACAGCTATCTTTTGAGTTATATATATTCTGACGTGTTGTGTAGTTGCTAAGGTTTTGATAACCAAGAGTTTTAAGAAAGCTTTGGTCACAAGAACTATAATCACTACATATTACCATCAAGGAATGACAGACTATAGAGCCTGCGAGTTCCATGGATATATCAGAGAAACTAGATAATTCAGAGTAACTGCAACCCTGGTGATACCAATAAACCGATATTTACCCAATTGTTTTAGACGGCATTTTACAGTGATTCAGTCTATATAATCATTTGAGAATGTGAAGTATATATGACCCGAAATCCACCACTGGGTATTGATGAAGGTAGCTACACCATCTCCACATTTCTCAGTAGAGCTTCATTAATCTTGACGGAAAATTTTGAAACTACTTGGAGAAATCAAATTTTCATCCTAAAATTCATGCAAACAAGTCTCGTGCAGTATAATTACTCCAGTATTACGGTTCACATTGGAGAATTTAATATAATTGTACTTGGTTCAAAGCACGTTACCATCCACTGTGATGCTTTTTCCTTATCTTATTTGATAATGACATCGCAGAAGGCCGTAAACTTTTTAAAAATGTTTGTGAATATATAATGCGATCAGAGGATATAGTAAAATGGATAAAACCCAACAAAAGTGTAGAAACATTTGATGCAGTATATAATATAAAAAATTTAGCAGCCCGGAAATTTAAGCAATCCGCTTTTCTATCATAAACACACTTGAATGCCTTTATGTGAAACTTCATTCAAATAGGTTCGAAAACATGGTTTTTATTTGATTTCTACAAACAGTAAACAAGAATATTCATTCATTTAGATTTTATGGTTATGTAAAGAAAGTTCTCTCAAACCTTAGAGATTCTTCAAATGTTTGAGAAACATCGTTAACTCCAGCACTGGGTAATGCGGGTTCGTATCTCAAACGAGACATCAGGTTGCAGATCCACCTTCCTGACGAGTTCCAAAGTCATAAAACAACCCTTGGAATGCTTCTTTTCGACTGCCTCCGTCGAATTAACGCTTCTCAGTCGGTTTATCGATCGGAAAGAATTCCGATGAACTATTCATATCATGAGTAGGATCTACTCCAACATCTCGGGTACTGTTATATTCCTGAGATAACTCAGTCGCTAATTTGCTATAATTTGGTCTGGCTTCAACTGACGTAAGCACGTGATTCGGGTTTTTCAGCATTAATGCCGGCCTTGAACGTGATTGGTCTTGTGTATACTTGCCTAGTCTCCCGAACTAAACAGCAATCTTGTCAGTTAGGTTGTAAGTGAAACCTTAGGTACACACACACACACACCCACAGAATTGGAGAATGAAATTAGTTCGATATCATGTCTACCAATCACTTGGAAGTTTTGTCCACTAAATCGTATATTTGTTATGCGATATTTTTACAAGCGAGTAACGTTTAGTAAAAATGGTGATGAGATGATTATTAATTAGACGTTAGACGAGTATCTTAAGTGTAAGGGGTGTCAGTATGCTGATGAAATCTTCACAAATACTGCATATTCTGTAAGAATCTATCTAGATTAGTTGACCAGAGACAGTTATCCTTAATATATCTAGTTAGAATTTCAGTCTCGAAACCATTATAATCTGTCTGTCTGAACATGCCTTGAGTTGGTCTGTTCCTGTGTATAGCTCTCTACCACTCTTATTGTTCTGTGCATAGACTAAAATAACACCTGTAGTAAAACACTTCAGCAAACGAAATCCTGTTGGTGCACATTTAGCACATAGAAACATCAAAATGGTGAGATTTCCTCAGAGAATTTCAAACTTCACACTGATCGTTCTTTTTATTCTATAGTTTCACATCATTCATTGAATGTGAATTTATCCAGGTTTCTGTGTTGTTCTGTTTAATTAGTCTGTAAGAGGAGGAAGATTAATAAATTCGGACGAATTCTACAAACAAGCAATAATTTTCATGCTATAGCTTGTAAGTCTCCTTTCTTGCAGTGACTTATACCTGATGAATCCCTAGTAGGACAAAGTGCCCTTCTTGGATTCCATCGTTGTTATCAAAACCAAAGGCTATACAATAAACATGAATACTTGGAACCGAATGAAGTCTGTGTCCAGAAGTAAATTGTTCATCCTGTTAAACACAGTAGAATGGAAAAAATAACCCTTGGTGATTGAAGTGACATTAAGATCCGCTCATCAGTCGGGCTTCGTAGCTTGGCTGGTAGAGCGCTGGGCCAGAAACCTGGAAGTCGCCTGTTTGAATCCATCTGTGGTCTAGATTTTCATTCGACCCAGTAACAAACGTAAAAGTTTGGTTTACTTTCTTAAAATGGTTAACACCTCTGGGAGAGATCTCGCTTACTCACTAAGCTTTAAATATATATCGATAAACATTAAAAGAAGGCCAGATATCGTTAGTTTATTAGTATAGAATAAATCATTTTGAGATAACACCCAATATTTGTACCTTGGGGGAACAACTTAGGTGGGGTTGTTTTTTCTTTCAGCTGGAGGATTGTTTTAATCCCGAAGCTTTCGTTGCCATTCTAGATAGTATCACCTAAATTTTGTTATCTGCTTCGTGGTTAGCAGTGGAATCCTACTTGTGAAGCGTTGAGTATTGGGCTTCGTTCTAACCTGGGAATAACATCACTCACTGGGCATCAGGTACATCCAGTCGACGAGTCCCAAACAAGATGAAAGGTAAATAGTTGACTCCACTTCTAGCCACCAAACGAACTGTAATATATACAAAGTTGTTTTGACATTTGAACGTTTCAACGTCGAAATAGTTAGGCCAATCAGTTTAATCTCATGCATCGATTATCCGACACCTTAGTTGCCACTTTTGCCTCATAATATTCATGTTTTCTACTTTTTTTTTGCTTCTCATAGGCTAATGAATCATATCAGAATGCTGTTGAAGGCATACATCCAAATGATGAATTCAATACAGTCATTTATTTAGAACCAAACACTGGTAGTATTGTAAAGGCTGAGAAGAAAATACAAGTCAATATTCTAGTTAAAAACGTTAAGACATTCAAACAGCTTTCAAACATTCAAACTGTTATCTTACCAATCATGTTTGTTAATGAGTCTGTCCAACTGAATGATACTTTAGTTGATCAATTGGTGCATGCATTAATTAAAACACCGTATATTACAAAGATTATTTTAGTATGTATTGTTACATTGTCAATACCTGTTATGTGTTTTGGTCTATCAGTGTATTTCTTTCAGACAGCCAGGAATTCTGTATATATACATTTTGAAGACGAACAACAACAACATCCTTCTGAAGATGATTCTCAGCAGAATGTACACAGTGAAGATGTTGAAGAACATAAACACCAACAACAACTTCATCAACAAAATCCTGTAGCTTAAACTTACTCTTAGATTATTTTAGACCTCTGAAATGTGAGAAACATTAGTATAATTAAATTTCATTTGTATGTCGTCTATTCCCCCGTGTATTTCATGTTTACTGTATGATGAAGACGAATAAAAGAGCTTTTGTTCAAGTTGAACAGTGATTTATGACTGAAAATAGAACAATTTTCTATGCAAATTTATATCTTGTTTTCAGTACACATAATTTTTTCTATTTTTATTCACTTTAATTGATTACGAAAGTATGAATCGACTAAATGATTTTGGAAATACATTATGATGGAAGAATATTCTTTTCAATAGATTCTTATCAGGCTCTACAGTCATAAAATGCTGTTGTACAGTATAAAAACAAGCCAAATTATGAGGGCAGATACGTTTTCAAAGTAGAGTAAAATTTAAGGACTGTATGGAAATCAGTTTTTTCCCCTTCAATTTGTCAATATTAGGATGAGGAATCTTATGGTTAACGAAAGACAAAAATTTTGGGAGGTGGAAACAGCCTTTAGTTTATTAAAGGTCAAGGGAAGAACAGTCTTTGAACATGTTCATTCTGAGTGCAAACTTCAGTTTTTATCATTCTTATTTGCTATAGCCTCAGCTGCGTTGAGTAGCCTTGGCAAGCTACACCTGGGACTGCTTTCGGTACAAGATATATGACATTAAAAGCCCTATTAACATGTATATGATGTGACTGGTAATCCGACCTAACAGTTTACGAGTGGTTCAAACCTAATGTGCAGAAGAATCTATTCTAATCACTAGTCACAACAACACAACCACTGACACGCAAACAGAAGATGGGCTATTTTCACAGTTTCTACTGTCTCGACAACAGAACAGCTGAGAATTCTCGTGAATATATACATTCTAAAGGATCTTAACAACACTGACTGGTCACTGGAGAGTAACCAACTTCATGTTGTCTAGACCTGAGTGCTGATCGATATTCATTTAACACTGGGTGACATGGGTTCACATCTCAGGCGGTACATTAGTTCCATAGAGGTTACAGAAACGCCTTGTTGACGAGTGCCAAAAAGCAAGAAACCTAGGTCCAGAGCTTCTTAACGATTCCCTCCATCTAACTAAGACCTTGATAACACTAAATTCACTGATAAGTAAAAACAATCAACAACCAATCAGAGTTCAACGGCTCCAAGAGGGTGCAAAAACAGCAATAATAAAGCTATTTTAAGGTCATGGGCAAAAGTAGGGGGGTATATAGCACTATGAGATAACCTGTAGTTACTAGGTGGGCTAAGAGAAGACGTTTTACTACTTTTAAAAATCAAGTCGGTGTATATTCTCATTTTTTAGGAGCAACCGAATTGAAGTATAAAAGTTCAGGAGCTAAGATTAGAAAGGATCTGGAGAAAATCGAAACGTACTCAGTAACCCTATTCACTAGTCGATGCGCCACACCGACTGTTCGAGGGCTAATGATACCATCTGGCTGCCCAAACCTCGATAGGCGGGGAAATGTTCGAACCCACTAGTTGAAAGTCAACTGTCTAAAGCAGTAAGCCATGCCTTTGGTCTCGAACTGAGTATTCATACACTACTAAAGATTGTTCAAAGACAACGCAAAAAGTAGTCCTTTCTCCACACACCTCAGAACAAAACGATCTTACTCCAAGTGTTAGACGTCTAATTATCGTGCATTTGCACGTTATTTGTACGAAACTGAGTGTATGTACGTATTTTAGTGATCACTTTTCTTTATGAGCATCTTATTATGGAAAAATCCTCGTTTTTGAAAACAAAATGAGGTCACAGAGAAGATAATGACCTTTTCGATGACTCATTTTCATTGCTAAGTAAAATGATGGAAGGTTCCAGGCGAGTTTTTTGGTCAAACTTAATCCATAGGTATATGTAGGGAATGAAATGTTATTAAGTAACACAAGACATGATCTTAGTAGATTTTGAAAGATGACGTCAGCAGTATATGGTATCTGATAAAAACAGATAAACAGAAATGTAATAAAATATATAAATAAATAATAAATAGATGAAATAAAAAATGAAATATAAACAGAGGTGCAGAGTACACGATGAAAGCAGCGTTAAAGAGAGTGTTTGTTATTCTATTCAGCCACAGGAAGATAATGAATTGATTTCTCAACATGAGGTCAGATACTTGCCACTTATATACCGATATTCGGATTAGTTGCAGAAGCAGTGATGCAGAAGCCATTATTCTACCTGTGATCAAACCAAAAATTTGGATTCGCTATGTGGACGACACCTTTGTCATCATTAAAAAAGATGATATAGAAAACACCCACAGTTTACAGTGACATCAAATTCACAATGGAGAAAGAGTCAAACAACCAACTACCATTCCTGGATGTTTTAGTCAGTAGGACAAACGCCGGAAAGCTGGAAACCCAAGTGTACAGGAAGCCAACATACACTGATCAAATCCACAACTACAATAGCAACAACACACAAAATCAGTTGCGTGCAGACTCTATTCAAAAGAGCGAAAACACACTGCAGCACAACAACTTCACGGAGAAACGAAGAAAATTACCTGGTGTCCACCCTAAAGAAGAACGGCTACCCACGAAAGTTTATCAGAAGATGCCTATCCAGTACATCACCAACTACAAAGTCATCGACGGAAATCAACAAATGCATCTTCCTACCATACATAAAGAATGTATCAGAAATCATGACAAGATTGCTGAGACCACTTGGTGGAATTGGTGTGGCTCATAAACCAACAAATTCCCTGCGAGCACAATTGTGCAAACCAAAGGATGCAACAACCAAAGAAGACAAACCGAATTTCATTTACAAAATCAACTGCAATAACTGTAGTCAGCACTGTATTGGACAAAGTGGCCACCCTCTTCTCCTTCGTCTACTTGAAAACCAATTGGCTATTAAACGCCACCACATTTCGTCACTCATTTCAATGCACATGGATAACAACTATGGACATGAATTCAATTTCTACAATGTAGAAATTTTGGACAGAGGAAACACGAAGAATGTCAGAGAATTCCTAGAAGCTTGTCATTCAGGTCAGTCAGTCAGTCAGCAACCAATAGATGTATAGACATAGACCAAATCTATCAACCAATAAGAAAAATGACAAACGACAGAAAGGTCAGAGGTGAAGCAGAGGAACAGCCAAACAGGAAAGTCTATGCAATCAATGACACAACAATCGAAGGAAACAACCAATCACAGACCACATCGTCAGAGCAAGCTACTAAACCACTAACGGAGAGATATTGACAGCTGACTTCATACTGAAGTTAGTTCTAATGCTGTCGTCTAGCAAGACGAGGAAAGCTTCACGATTAGACAAGCCAGCTCAGAGAAGACAATACAACCAAGACCATCCACCTGAGCTACAAATATTCTCCATTATTTCATAATTATACGAGCTTGACACGCTTCACTTTGTTCGAAGATGGGAAGACTTCTCCAAAAGGCAAGCTCCCATAAAATAACAACTTTTCTTTCTCCATGAGTGCCTACAGTTAATTATCTTATCTGCAGGCCACTAACAGCTTTTGTCCTTCATGATATTAATGGAAGATGAATGAAAACATTTACACAGGAAACATTTTAAAAGTCCTTAGTTCTCAGGCAAGTATTCATCATGGACTGACATCAGTTGAAGAGACACTGGAAACTTGTGAGCACTAGACAGACGTTTCTTTCTTGTATGGGACTCCTCAGCAGTGCGCATCCATGACCTCTTTAGGGATCGGACTCAGAATCTCCAGCTTCCACTGCCAGCATGTTACTATTGACCCACTGCGCCGGAATCCAGTGGTCCACATTGTCTGCTTCTATCAGTTCACGATAAAGCACGACCTTTATTCAATGTTGTCGTTGGTTAACTTTACCAATGTTCGACTTGGTTGGCCTCGCTGATCATGACTTCTCATTCGAAATTTAGGAATCACCTCTCAAAGAGAGTCCACAGTGAGCACGTGCTAGCCGCGGAACCTGGAGGTTTTGGGTTCGATCGTTGGCGGGGTCAAGGGTAATCACTTGTGAACAGTCCCATACTAAGATGAAGCATCTGTCTAGTGCTCCCAGGTCTCAGTGTCTCACCAACTGATATCGTTCCATGGTGAATACCAACCTGAGTTCAACAACCAAATCCTCATAAACCTCGAAACTGAATCTCTGGTTCCCACAAATATTACTCGGTCAGACGGTTGGCTTAAGAGTCTGTGGTATTTGATAGGAACAAAACAACTCCCTCGCTCTTCGGCTGTGTTTATCTACTGTAAGTTGGCAGCCATGATTTAGGAGGGGTTGTTTTGTCTGACTAGGGCATTCTGAAGTGCTGGCACTACAACAGTATTTCGCGATTGTTTTGAACGTCCTCATACATCTGTCCAAGTTGTCGATTTGTTGATTCCTCCTCTCGTTAACGGTCTGTGAACACTTTGCAATTTTGGTTTATTAGAAATTGTAAGACCACTGCAGAGCGGGTCACAATATTCTTTCTGAGTTCATATACATGTCTTATACCTAGTCACTTTGAATTTCATGGTAGGAGAGTTAGGCAAAATGAACCCAACTAGTCTTCCAAACCTGGACACCATTTTCCCAGCGTAATCACAAAGGCGTGGATAAGAATAATCGATTCCAATGTCAGTGACTGGATCATTGCTGAAAAGACAGATCCCATGTAGGCATAGTTGTATCTCTATTTTCCAGTGATCAAAGTATGTGTAGCTACATTTTTCAAGACTAGAAGCCAATTTCCATTGTGATCTACTTATATAAACAATTTCAGTTTGAATATCCACAGAATATTTTGTTATAAAATAGCATACTATTATGAGATCGTCAGAAAATTTGTATGGCTTACGGTATTTAGATCACGATCACACAAAGAAAGAGTCTATCCAGCTAAGAAGATCCCCTTATATGCTTTACTAGTTGAGTTTTGCCGGAAATCTACCATGTAAGAGTTCATCGAAAGCTTTTCTTTAATCAAACAAAACTGTTGTCACTAAGTTTCCGCTATTTGAGTGCGCTATAGGATATTTGAAATAGTCTGACTAGTGATTAAATCACTACTTG